CTCATGCCGATACAAGGGAATTCATGTTGAAGAATTCGGAGGAGCTAAAGGGAGTTACTACCAAACCACTGAATGGTGACACTGCCACTCTAGTGGTGACGCGAGCTCAGCTGCTGTTGCTCACAGGTATCGGTCGTCAATACTTTCATCTCGGTCGTTGTGGACGGACCCTTATTATGACCCTCATACTGGCAAGACATTCCTTAAGACCTTCGCGGTCCCGTTTAGATTGCAGCCTAGTGCCACTACTGCCAACACCGAATCAGGAGCTGATGCTGGTGGGAGGTAACCTCAGCATTTAAGACGGCGGCGAGTATATGCAAGGTTCTTCTTGTTGTTGTTTAGTTTATCAGGAGTAGTTCGTTTGGATGTGGAGTACTGTGATGAGCTACACTCGTTCTTTTATCATGAGTCGGCAACAGGAGGGGCGGCAGCTCCGGGAGAGCAGACTGGAACAACGTGCTCTACATGCGGCCATGATACTAGGTAGAGGGTCGGAGAATATGCGCAAAACTATATGAAAATTATGGTATGACGAACTCCTACCCGGATTCGTATGGAATTTGTATAATTAGTGAGGAAAATCCTGAGATCAGCTGAAGAGAGCGAACATATATTTTTGGGAGATGCATCGCTCCGCTGTAATTTTAGCCATTTTTAGTCTTGCGTACTACCAGCATCCCGTATCAGCTGTTTGTGTATGCGTACGGTGCTACTGTTTGGGCCTCTACGGTGGGGCTGAGGAGCAACATAATCAACTTGCAGAGGAAGAGGAGGAGGGTGACGAGACTGTCGTGTCACCACGCCATAGTAGTAGCAAGGAGAGGGGAGAGCACCGAGATGAGAGCTCGCTGGAGTTTGTCGGGGTTTGCGATAAGTACAATTTATACGTGAGTCGGTACAGGAAAGCTGGGGAGGAGTTGGAATTGGGACGGTATGCGCAGTTTCGGCACGTCGCTACTGGGAAGTTGCTCAGTGTAGACATTTCTGTAAATGAAGGAGATTACGGTATATATCGTCACTGTTTGGAGCCGACCGATTGTTACATGCAGGGCAGTCCGGGGACGTGGTTTAAGGTGATAGAGGCTGAGGCAAGTGACTGGGACGAACTTGAGAGGATGAAAAAAGCGCAACGCTCCGCTGAGGAGGCCAGCAAGAGATCTGCGAGATTTGATCATTCGGTGTCCCAAGATGATGATGTTTTTGATGATGAGCTGATGTCTAAGGAGGTTGACAATGACAAGCATCAGAAGGTATGCAACTGGCGTATCGTGAGGAAGCAGCTGACTAATCTGAGCTTGGGAAAGGGAACTAGTGATGTCGTAGTAGGAGGAGGTGGCTTGCATAAGGAGGAGAATGCGGTTGTGCTAGAGTCTATGTCTTGGGGCGCTAGATGTGGTCCTGTATATATGAAAAAACTGAGGAATAATAGAACTACTGATACTAAGAGGGACAAGGGAAGGATATGGGAGAGAGCAGTTAAGGAGGCGGTTTGGCGGGTGGACAACTTTGAAGATGATTCTGATGTGTTGGTGCAGTTTAGGGATATACTCCAACCGTGGGGAGGAAGCAGAGTAGTAGTTGACTTCGAGTTTTTGGTCGCTCTTTATATTTCGACAGGGTCGATCGGGCTGTGGTACGAGCAGCAGTGGATATGGGAGCACTAAGTGCTATATTGAGCACCCGCCGAGCTCGAGAAAAGGAAGGTGAGAATATTAATACCACACCACGGCCACATCGTATGTCCGCCTTAGGCTTCTGGGTTGCCTCATTCCTGCTCTTCATACTGATACGGTGAACGCGATAGCCATTAGGATGTGGTCAGCTCTTCCTCCGGCAATAGAAGGAGTAGCAGCGGTATGTACAAGGAAGTGTTTCTGCATATCAGAATCACAGGTATCATATTACGCAGTATGAAGATTTTTCCCCTCATTGTGTTTTTTCGTGATAAGGTTGACCGACTTGTGGAAGTGACGTTCACTACGAAAAGGAGTTCGTATTTTACGCGAGGAGCGAAAGCTATCAGTAGTGTTTGTGAGAACTCTAGAAGAGCTCAGAGAATGGTATATGGTTGTATATGTAACAATACAGCATATTTGGAGACCCTTAAGAGCAGCATCGAAGGTTGGTCGAATAAGGGAGTCCTTGTTTATACGTATTTTGTAGGAGAACTCGGCCCTGAACATTTACTACTGGCGCAGGTGTTGGTAGGCGATCTCGCTATGCACAACCCGGAAATTTCGAGACAGTTGTTGGAAGTTCTCAATGTGCAGTTGAAGCCGCTTCTGCATGAACTTGATCGAGCGATGGTCAGCTGTTTCAAATCAGAGTGTGAAGCGCCAGCTGCGTGTATTGCGGTGGTGGGACTCTGCAAAATGATTTTGACATTATTTGTTGATGTATGCGAGGTCGGATGGAGTAGGAAGGAACTGTCGTCTACTACGTATGTGGTGGATGCTAACAGAGTCTCGGAGCAATACCCTAGTGGGACGGTGGGCATTACGTGGAAGAAAGATGTGGCTGATCGCGTTGTTGAGAACACTAAAGTTGAGACCAGTGACGGGTGTAAGAGTTTGTTGGATTTGCTGTTGTTGTTCATACATAGAGCAGTGTACCAACCTGAGATGAACGAGGCGTTGTATGCTGCACTTGAGCTGGTGCATGCTGTTACTGTTAATGATATGTATAACGATCCTAAGGATCGGCGTAACACTGTAAGGGAGCTCATTCATGTTGCCAGCACTGAACAGTTTGTGACGGGGAGTGAAGAGGTTGTTCAGCGGCGGATGATTAGTGGGAGAAAATGCAAGGTGGAGGCTTTGAACGTGCTGCATTCTATAAAGGATTTGCAGCTGCACCATAGGGTCTTGACGGTCGTTGCTGGGCATAGGGCCGATGAGATCAACGACGCGCTGTTGAATCCTGGGATGAATCTTGTGGAGAAGTGTTTTAATGCACTACGTAGGACCACTGATCCAAGTCTTGAGGAAAGTCTGGCGAGCATGTTGTTACGTTTGCATGTGACGCACACTGAGCTGAAGAGGTCGTTGCTGAGGGTACACTATGTGGAAGAGGGCCAGATGGAGCTGTTGGAAAGTGCGCAGAAGTGGGCAGTAGAGTTAGCGAGAATTCTGGACGAGCCTGAAGTTGATATGCTGTTAGCGGCTAGGGCTACAGGTCAGCTACGGGCCAGCCTGGTGCCTGATGATAGTACTGGCCTCACGAAGTAAGGGGGTAGTAGGATGTGACGGATTTACGGTATGGTTTTCAGGGCTGCCGATTTGTATGTTGCCCTGGGAGTTCACGAGCACTTACTACAACTGTTGAATGTATCATATTTGGGAGTGGCGGTGTGGGAGAATTGCTATTCTACTTTAACTACTATGGCGCACGCAACCAGTTACCGAACTGTGATAAGGCGGCTGGCCAGGGACTTCCCGGTGTACTTACGACATGCTGAGGATGATATTAGAGGCGCTAATAGATTGTGCATCGAGCTGTTATGTGCTAATAAGGAACTGGCTGCTGAGTGGTAAGTGTCTTGTTTACCAAAAATGAAATTACAATAGTTTTTTTTACACTAAGAATCATTTAGGACTATCTACACTCTCTTAACACAACTTTCGGGGAAGGTATCCAGCTGTATTGTATTCTCATTTCGCGATTTCCTTTTTGAGTTCTCCGGAAACAATTTCAAAAATTAAAATTGGTGTTGGAGAATCTAGACAATTTTGAATTCATGGGTAGCAGAGTTAGAGCAGTGCTGTGTTCCGGTTTGGATGACATATTCACGAGGTTTACTTTTATAATATTACGCCTATAGGAATTGTCGTGTTATTCACTGGCATTGTAAATAGTAGAGTAGGGATGGTGACACTGTCACCATCGAGTCGTGGTGTCACCGTCGAGTCAGGTATCAGCAGTATATCAGCTGTTCTCTCCGCATACTATCGCAACGCCCTATGACGGTTGAGATACAAGCATTGAGGACCCTGCTAGAGTGCTTGGACCCATCACTAGTAGATAGTGGCATTAGGCTTACTGTAGCGAGGAGCCTGTGTGAAGTCCCTAGTATTTTGGGAGATCTATATCATGCTATTGCCAAAGGTGGGCCTTTTCTGGACCTAATTTGAATCTTGCCCGCATCGACCTTGGATATCAGGTAACGCTACTGCGATGGAGAGCCTCAGAGAGCAGCTGAATACTGGGAATCCGAGATACTATAT